TTCTTCACGGCTCTCAAAGCAGCTAAAATTCTACAACCACACGTGACCTCTTTAAAAACCCAAATCCCAGCTCAGAGATCATTTTTATCAATAGCTCCTTATTTTCTATTTATTTTTCCGCAAAAATATTATGACTTAATGAGTGAGGTGGAAAGGAAGCATAAAACTTTCTTACTATCGAAGAAATTGCACGTTATAGGGTGCCTTCTTGCATATCAATTAGACATATTTATTTATTTATTTATGCTAGAAAGAAAAATAAGCCAATCAATTTATTAAAAAAAGAAACTAAAAGCATAGGATTTGCGTGCGCCATAGGCCCTTTTGATTTTATTCATTCGCACATAGTCCATTTTAGCAAAAATACATCCAATGATAAAACTGCAAAACGACCAAACTAACAGAATATTCGATTGATTGCGTCGTTGTAGATTTTCCGTCAAAATTTGATTTTTGGAAGGATAAATGTCATCGCATATTCATTCTTATAATTCACTTAAAATTCTTAAAATTTTGTACAAAAAAATCCGGTGAAGATCTCTGGGGAAAATGAAAAGAGAGGAAATTTTTAAACACAGCAGCACCAAATACTCCTCTCCTTTTACTGAAATTTATTGACATCTAATTAAATGAAACAATATTAAAAGTATCCATGAGAAGGCATGTGTTTTAACCTTCAAGCTAGTATACTAATTTATGATATTTCTAGATTATATTTTGTTTGTTGTTCCTTCTGTTTCCCTCCAGTTGGTTATTTAATCGGCCTACGTTAAGACCAAACAAAACTCATTTTTTATGAACTCTGAGGTCTACTTATAAGAATGCTTTTATTTAAAAGTTCTTCGAAAGTTCTTCGTGCGTGATGAATGCTTTTTATTCTTTATGACTTTAATTACATAGTCCTTTTCTATAGACATAAGAATCATTTATAGCGATTTCATCAACGTCGATTTATTGTAATATTATAGAAAATTGCGGTAAATTGCGATTTCATCGCATTTTGCAGTAAAATGACAATTTTATCGATGGCGATTTATCGCAATATTATCGAACGAAAAGTTGTGCTGAATTGATAAAAAATTAATCGATTTTATCGGAAGCGATCTAAGAGAGATTGAATTGCGACAAGGTCGAGGATAATTGCTCAGATGTTGATGATCAGAGCGATTTTATTGCCAAAAATTCGTCAAAAAGGCGCAGCTGAATTTCAAAATATGAGGATTTTTCTGTTAAAAAACGCCCCTTGGGGAATGAGCACGTACCAACTTTAATGTGGTTCTACTCGTTTACGACGCAGAATTTGTTTTGTGTCCATTCTCACGACAACTCTGGCCCCACCGTGCGCTTCGTTTGCGGTCGCGACTTCATGCATAATAAATATTGATCCGGAAGGGAGCAATTAATTTTGAACGGTGCAATTTTAATCGCCTCTATCAATCGCTCCAGTTTTCTATCATAATTATTGCCAGATTGCTAGTGAGGCTGATTCGCTCTCTTGTCTTCCCGCGTTAATCGATGAAATGAGTTCCTTTTAACACCCGACAAGATCTGACGCTCTCGGATCTACTACCACTACTACCCGGAACTCTTTGAACTACTCGGATCAAAAGGAAATTTACCCTCAACACAACGTGAGAAATTTGATCACGCTGATTCCGATGCGAACGAAAAACATTGACTTTTTGGATCATGTCGACGAAAAGATAGATTGCTGTATCGAATGCAAAGTTATTTCCATAGTCAAAATATTGAGTTCACTTCTCTGCGGCCTGATTGTTGAATTGATAGACTAAGCGATCGACAAAGAAGACATAGGGAGTGCGGAACGATCCTATTCGCTGAAATGGGTGGTTCCTATAGACAAAGGGGGTATATGATGGACTGACTCCAGGGTCTCTCGTGGGTTGCCGTTATAGTTGTCTATTACCCACCTCCTTTGTCCATCGCAACCATCAGCTTCCCCCAATAGGATCCCTTCTTATCCCTTTTGTCTTCTTCGTCTATAGCTTTGTTTACCAATTTCAACAATCAGCCCGCTGGAGTTCGTATGACTTGATCAACGCGATAGATCGCACGCCAGCTCGACCACGCCAAAAACCTGAGACGTATCACCCTAACTGTCGTGCCGTGGAAGAACGACGTATGAGCCGTTAGACGTTGCCATATTTCCTACAGTAAGAGATAAATTTACGGCGAAAATTGTGAATATTTTCCCTCAAATTCTTCAGACAATGTGTGCATAACTTTTCACAAAAGTACATGTTTTATCCGGGGTTTGGCAACTTTCGACTGTTCTTCCGACGCTCCTCCTTTAGCACGGCAGTCAAGGAGGTAACGGAACTTCGTGACGATATACTGCATCGGGAGGACCCCTTATAAGGTAACTTTCGGCAGATTCCCGCCCCTCTTCCCCGTCCAATCGAATTTTCATCAGATGCAGAGGCGGATCCAGCAATTTGGCAACACCGGATTTCCTCCATTTAAACCTTTGCTAAATAATCGATTCTTATCAGAGCACTTGGCCCCTCCAGGGATCGATACATTTCTATAGGTTTAAATGGAGAAAAGACAATGTTGCCAATTTGCTAGATCCGCCAATGATCAGATGACGTCATCGATGAGTCGAGATAGCTTTCGTAAGAGTGAACAATAAAGACGGCTCTGAAAGAGCACTAAATAAAATGGTGAGAATCCAAATTCGATTCTAATCATAGTTAAACCAGCACTGATTCTTGTAAGTTGGCAACACTGTTTTCCCTCCATTCAAATCCACTATAGATAATCGATTTTAGGTGATAGATATCGATGGTTATACATACATTTAAATGGACCGAACCCCCGGTTGCCAACTTGACAAAATTGATAACGAAGTTCCCAAGGAGCGGTGATCGCGATAAGCTGAGATTTGATTAAGCTATATTAATTTTATTATATTCATTATTACTATTATTTATTTTGATTATAATTACTATTATAATGATTGGATATACATAATAATTTGATCAGAGAATGTATCGCGATTTTATGGACGTCGATTCATTGCAATTTTATCAGATTAAAATTTGCGATAAATGGCTATTTCCTCACGTAAATTTGTAATAAAATCGTGATCTCATCGACGGCAATTCGTCGCAAGATTATCGAACAAGGAATCGATTTTCAAAATTTCGATTTTATTGAATGCGATTTTATGGAGAAAATATTGCGACAAGATCGAGGAAAATCGTTCAGATTTCGATTATCCTTGCGATTTTATCGCCCAAAAAATCATAAAAAATGGCAACTTAATTTCAAAACAGCGCGATTTTTCTGTTGAACGTAGAACGTGTTGACGAAGCCGTCATTGCGGCTCCTCGTGGTGGGCATTAACTCATGAGCCCTGTTCACAACGCTCTAGACACATGTCCATGGCTCATACGCTTTGCACATAGTTCCGTTTGACAGAATGTAAAATCCCGCTTTTCCATTTCAGCAAGTGGAATTGCGAGTCAACTGAATACGGCACCCATGAGCCATGGGTATGTGTCTAGAGCGTTGTGAACAGGGCTCATGAGTTAGGGCCGACCGCGAGCTGCCACGGCGCTGCGGCGGCTTCGTCACTGTCGCTTTGTATTTCCCATTCATTCTTATGGCCCGAGCACTAACGAGCAGACCTCATCTTTGCCACCTCCACATAGTTCTCTTTGATATAAATACGGCCAATAGTGATTTTCATTGGTTGGCAACGCTGCTTTTCCTACATTTTAGTCCCATTATAAATAATGGATTCCAGGCGATGCAGCCAGGCAGCCTATCTCGACCAGAGACAATATATCGTAGCTCCTCTGACATAAGGGCGTATCTCTATCTCCATGTGAGCCCCAAAAAGCATTAAGTTTAATAGACAACAGGGCTCAAGTGGAAATTGCGATACGCGCTTACGTCAAAGGAGCGACGATATATTGTATTATCGCGGTCCAATCAATGTATTCGGGCGAGGCAAAAGCTAAGCTTGGAGATTCACACCCTCTCTCGCCGAGTGATGATTGATTAGCAAAGCAACTTTGTTGGGCAGTTTTTGGCCTGACGATGTCTGATGTATGTCGGATTGCGCAGCCAGCAAAGGAAGTTTGCCAAACTGGACCCTCTTTGCGAAACGGAGTTGCAAACGGGGTTTTAAAGGGTAAACCCTCTCGGAGACTTTAACGCCAGGGTAGGAAAAAGTGACATTTGCCAAAATTTTCAAAGTATGCGCCCTTTGAGTAAACCTCTGCGAAGACTTTCAAGCGTGAGAAATTCCGGGGAAAATATACATTAATTTTCACGATCGTAATTAGTTGAGCGGAATCAATTTGGCAACATTGGAATGCTCATGCGGCGTTCTTCGTTAGAAAGGCTGAAAATTCATGTTTCATCATAGGCAATTCAGCATGGTCTGAAAGCTCATACGACCCACAGTGGATCGAGTAAATTAGATAGGTTGGGCATAAAATTTTTAGCTGAAACAGTACATTTTTATGTTTATTTCGTCACATTTTAAATTTTAAGGGGTGGTTCCTGAGGACAATTTTACAAGGAAACCGATGGAACCACTTTTAAAAGCACGAAGTTTTGTATGAACGGAGTTATAAGCTCTTGGAGTTTCCAAATTTTCTCCTATCTCTAAGTCTCAAGACTTCTCCTATTGACTCGATCCACTATGCGACGTTGTTGGTTATGACGAGTGAAATCATGGAATAATAGCTACCAGAAAGGTAACAGACAGATCCTCCCGTAAGATCGCGTATTATCACTTTTTCGAAGCAGTCTTTGCTCTTTTCCCCCGCGAAATTTGAAACGGCAGAGAGACGTAGGATGAGAGCGGCGGACTTAGCTCTTTTTCCCGGCGAAATTTGAAACGGTAGGCTGAGCGGGGGTTGCGGGGATTTGAAGAATCGGAGCGAAGATGACCGACTGCTGCCCCTTTGGTAGGTATTATTCTATGGTGAAATGAATCTAGCTGGGACTGGGTTGGAACTTACTTTGCGTAGGCTTTTTCTAGAAGGGCGGGCCAGAACTGGTCCGAGTGTTGAGCCTGGAGGAAGGCTAGTTTATTGTTGACGGTGGGAAGGCGGTCGTCGACGAGGACCTCGACCCACTCGCCGCACCACCAGAGCCGGAACCGGAAAACGCCGGCGTACTGGTCGCTGAACGTCTGGTCGGCCGGAACCACCCGGTAAAACAGCCCTTTGCTCAGGTACAGCACCCCGATGCACGAGACCAGCCATCGATCCCCTGAAACAACATCATCAACATCTTGTAGCATACTCCACAATTTTTCTAACACTTTATCGCCACTATCAACACTTTTTTCCATACAAATTAATTTTTTTAAAATTTTTATAAAATTTTTTTCTATACAAATTAAAACATTATCAAGAATATCGTATAATCGGTTTTTGAAAAAAAAAAAAAAAATAATAATTCGTATCGAAAAAAGTGATCATCACTGTGAAAAGAAAGTCGCTTGAATCTGGAGTTTAGAGTGTTAAAAAGATTGGAAAGAAAAAACACTCTCGATTAAATCGGATATTTGCGTAAATCGAGAATCAAGCCTCTTAATTTAACCGGATTTTCTTTTGATTCAAACAAAGATCCGATTGAATCAAGAGTGTTTTTACTTGTCACTGTTTTCAAGAGTCTGGACTCTATATCCAAGCGACTTTTCTTTTCTAGTGATCATCATCGTCACTAGCCCGTCAAAACATCAGTTCCTTTCAAATCATCATTTAATTAATTATTAACCAGGGGGCTATGATGCCGTGGTAAGGAAGAACGCCGTATGAACATTCGGGAGTTGCCGAATTTCCTTCGATAAAATGTTTATTTTTGAGAAAAGTCATGAACATTTTTCCTTGAAATGTTCAATAACTTAAGGTAAAATTGCGAACAAAATCATCGGATAAAATGGGAAGAATGATCTTCATAAGTTTACCAGGAATTCCGTGTTTTATCAAAGGATATTTGGCAACGCCTGAAGGTTCATACGACGTTTTTCCTCAGCACGGCAGTGTGGACCCTGATCGCTCTCCAGTCCAACCTAGAGTCCCTTTATACTGAGAGTCAAGACAATGCGAATCCATTTCTGATTGGTTAACCGGATTTTAGGCCTTCACAGTGTCACAAACGGGAATAAAGATTACATTTTCACCAATTGCAAAGATTATAATCTGGAATGGACCGAGGAATTTCGGGTTCGACAAGGAACAAACGGAATGAAAGAAGGAACGGAGAAAGGAATTTAAGAATGAGCCGATCAAAGATTACGAAAAACGTTCAATTTCTGTAATCTTTATTCCCGTTTGTGACTCCATGAGGGGTGTTGTCTTGACTCTCAGTATAAAGGGACTCTAGTCCAACCCACCGCCGAGGCGTCCCTCCCCCACCCCGGAAGTCTACTTGACCCCTCCCAAGAAATGTGAGGGATTTTGCTAAGTAAAGCGTGAAATAACTCTCTTCTTTGAAATTAGAATTGGATTAATTTCTCGTGGAGAACAACTCGAAATACGTCGTTTTCCCCATGAAAGAACGTAACTATATTTTAATGTTGCCAACTTTTTACTTGGAAACTGCAATTTTGATAGTACATTCTAGGGTGTTTTCAACCGATAATTTCACGGATTTCCCATCTGATCTCATGCAAAAATCAGACAAATTTTGGAAAAAAAATGACGCACGTATATTCTTGTAAAAAATCGAATTGTATGAGTCAATTTCGCAACCTTGGAATGGACTTACGTCCCTTCGTTTAGGAAACGACGAAGTGCTTCTAAGGGTACAAAATTTTTCAACATTTTCGGGAGAGGCCCTGCGGGCACTCTTTTTAAGCTAGGGAAGTTCCCCTAAACTTTCCTTCGACCTGAGGGAGTCCCGCCAACCCTCCTTAAAGGGGTGTCATCTTATGCCCCACAGAGCCCTCCTGATGAGATGTCCTTCTGTCCCCTTTCCCCCCAGAAAAGTTCCTAGTTCCACTCGACCAAAAGGAGTTTCCTTTTCGGTAAAATTTCAGTTTCTTAGGACTTTTGGAAAAGTACTTTTCATCAATCACCGCTATCGGGGTGAAAACTCAATTTCAATACCTGCACCATCAGTTTAAAAGTAACTCAAGTGTAATGTTCAGACTGTGAACATGCTTTCTCAAAATCATGAAACTTTTTTCCTCCTCCATTCATTTCAGTTTGAGAGCTTGGAAACGTCTCAATTTTAATAATTTCGTTCGTGAATTGCAGCCATTGAATTGTCTTCGCGGTAAAGTGAACAACACCTCAATGTGTTGTGTGCCGAGTTTCATTTAGCTCGTAGAAACAAAAGCCATTGTTCCTCTGAGTCTTTCCCAACAGCCAATGTTGATCTTGAAAGAGAGACAGACCTCCGATTGGAATGGATTGAGTTGCGAGCATTTCAGCACGTCTTACTTATGCGATATGCTATCGTCCAGGGTTGCCTCATGTTCAAGTTTACATTTTTTCCCTTCTATTTCTTATGTACTCGTATTAGATAGCCCGCGGGTAAAGTTCTTTTATGGCGAGAGAATGGCCACTGGAAGATCCAATTCTGCGGCTTAACTGTTGAAATTGAAAGACAGAACGATTGACAGAGGAGTCAAAAGGAAAATGTACTGGTAAAAAAGTATCTCGGTTCCAGACTCCTAAAAATAAGACAAGAAAAGATACTCTTGATTCCATGGGACTTTTGCTTGAATCAAAAGGAAATCCGCTTAAATTAAGAGACTTGGCGCTCGATTCGAGCAAAAATCCTATTGATCAAGGGTAATTTTTCTTGTCAAATTTTGTAAGAGCTTGGACTCTAGATCCAAGAGACTTTTTTTCAGTATAGAGCGATCCTATCGGCGGAAGCGGAGGGTTATTACAATGAACAAAGGAGGTAAAGTTATAGACTAGCTAACGGCAACTCACGGGTGAAAAGTCTATTATATTTTCCTCCTAGTCTATGACAACCACCCGATTCGACCAATAGGACAGCTCCATTTGCTCTTTGTCTTCTTTGTCTGCAGCTTTGTCTTTTTATTTATTCTATATAAGTCACCGTAGACTTTACTTAAATTAGACACAGAGGCTACTTTTTTACTGTACTGAAAAAGAAAAAGTTACGGGGTATATAGCCATACCGTCCGTTCCGGACTCAGAGGCCAAAAGTTCCGGGTGCTAAGCCGTAGTTTCGACTGCTCCGGCTGCTACACTGAGAAAAAACTATGGTCATAATTCCCATATTACCCTGGCAAAAATTGGCGATAGGATCTGCGTTTCAAAATACCATAGAAGTTCTTACAGCCGACTAAAGAAGGCTATTGAAAATTATATAGCTGGCTGTAGAAAGCGGAGCAAATCGTATAGCCGGGCTATACGAAGCTATAAAAAAGTATACAGTCGGGCTATAGTTCCTATCGCCGGGCTTTACACTTTATCATCATTGGCTATAAAAGGCTATAGGAAATTGTGTAGAAATTCGTGTGCTTTGGAAATCATTAAGTTTGATACGGAACTACCATAATATTTACAAAACACACATTATATTTTCCTTTAAAACATATTTTCTTCATCAATTAAAATGAGAATAATCCACACAGAGTGTGCAAACATTTCAAAATCGTGAGTTGAAAAACGCTGACTCCGCGAGATTAAATATTAGAGCCTAACACAAACGGAGCGGCGACGACGCACTGGCGCCTACAAACCTAACAGGGATACTTCACGCATTGCGCAAACGCGCATTGACGCCTACAAACCTAACAGGGATACTTCCCACATTGCGCAAACGCGCATTGACGCCTAAAAACCTAACAGGGATACTTCACTCATTGCGCAATGCGTGAAGTATCCCTGTTAGGTTTGTAGGCGCCAATGGGCGTTTTGCGCTCTCTGCCCGCCCGCCGCGCCGCGCCGCAGCGTGCCACGGCGTCTGAAGCAACTATTTCACACCAGAAATATTGCACAGATTGCAGATATTTGCACAGTATCATAAGAAATTGAAGGCGCTTCAACATACTAAGAATGACAGGTATCCTTCAAAAGTACAGAGCTTTCCTCGCAAAATAAATCAAGATACTACGGCACAAAAAGAGAGCGGTAGTCCAAAAACTAAAACCTAGTATCCGTATTTAGTAACGTTTAGCATAAACTTTATCGTCTGCATGTTGCTTAATCGTCATCGGCTTTGAAAGGCTATAAGAAATTATATAGCCGGCTACAGAAGCTATTGGAAATCTTACAGCCGGCTTTAGGTCTGTAGTATTTTGGAACACACATTCTACTGCCAATTTTTACCAGGGTAGTGGTGTTCAATTTGAACTCTTAATTAGTAGTGGCCATTGCCAATAATAGTGATATTTTTACTGGAGTAATCGTAATTTTACAAGTGTGCGGTAGTAAAATTACCATTTAATGGTAAAAATATCTCTATTATTGGCAATGGCAACTACTAATTAAGAGTTCATATTGAACACCACTAATATGGTATTTATAACCATTATTTTTTTCTCAGTGTACGCCCGGAGCTTTCGGCTTCTGGGCCCGGAACACGGACGGTATGTCTGCATAGCCAGTGAGTACGACTTCCGCGGCCGAAGTTTTTTTTTCAGTGTGTGTAGCGACGCCTTGCAGGTTTTGCATTTCCATTCCTCATTTTTGAATTTGAATTTGTGCAGGAAATGTGGCAACGTGGACGTGGAGGCAAGTGCCAAGCGCCAACATCAATCCGAATGGTCAACACTCTTAAGCCGAGAAAGTAAATACGGCAGTGGATCCTCGGACACTCGTGGATTAGCCCGTGGCTCGGAGTGAAAGAGATCCATTGCGAAGGCGTGGAGTCGAGGCGAGGAAGAGAGAGGCCGTGAGTCGGCTATTTCATCCGCCGGACAACGAAACTTCCTCGCAAAGTCACAACACGGAGTATATACCTAAAAAACACTACGGCAGACTTGTCCAGTTCTCTCTGTACTCGACGCCACCATTTTAGTCTCCCAAGAGTATACAAGGATTATGACCCTCATCCCACTAACTTCTTCCTCGGTAGGGGTGTCATTTCATACGGATCTTAATGCGAGAGGGCAAAAGTTGTCGAGAGCTTGGTCAATTTGTTTGAGAAGGAGGAAAATGCTTCTAAAAATCTCGAGAAATTTCCCAGGATTGAAGTACTAGGCGCAAAGTGCAGAGAGGGAATTTCTTGGTTACAGTGTCTCAAAATCTCCGCTAAGGTTTTATCCATTATAATGAACC